TATATATATACATTTATATATATACACACACACTAAGACCTATAGAGTCAAATTTGTGTCCCCAGATGCCCTTTGTTGTGGGTCCATTCACTGGAGCCTATTTAACCTATCAAGAGTCACACCCATAAAAGAGACTGACTCTTGCTAATAGTTCCTCAGGTAAGGTTGGAGTTTCTTACCTGCTTCCCATGTCTATGCTGTGATATTGTCTGGCTTGAACTTATGTGGGACTTGGGGCATGCTGTCCTCATTGCTGTGAGGGCATATGAGTAACTGTCCTGGTTTCTGGAAAACTGTTTCCTTGTGATTATCCACTACTTCTGGCTCTTACAATCTGTCTGCCTCCTCTTCTGCAATGATCCCTGAGCCTTGGGAGGCAAAAGTTTGATACAGGTGCCCAATTCAAGGATAAGCACTCTGCAGTCTGATTCTCTACACGTTGGCCAGTTGTGGGTTTCTGTGTTAATCACCATCTGCTGCGTAAGGGAGCTTTTCTAGTGAGTGTTGAGAGATGCATTAATCTATGGGTATGTTATTAGGAGTTGCTTTAATACTGCGTCTATTTAGCAGAATAATAGTATTAGACGTCCCCTATGGCCTGTGTCCTGTCTAGCCACAGGTCCCTAGGTCTGATGTCACTGTCAAATATGGGCTCCCTCTTATGAAGTAGAACTTAAATCCAGTTAAAAAGTAGTTGGTTACTTCCGTAATACTCATGCCACTATTGCACCACAGGGCAGATCCTGCCAGGCCACTTATTATTGAAGCATGAAGGATTCACAACTGGGTAGGGCTGATGATTAATTTTCTCTTCCAGCACTAAGAAAGATAGCCAGTAGAGATGAAGCTTTAAAGTCAGTACCATTTTGATTTCTCTTTATTTGTTGTGAAGCTTGTATATGTACTGTCTTCAGCAAAACGATCCTACCCTCAAGTTCTGGTGGGTAACAAAGGGCAGAGGCAATGGCCAATATCATTTGAAGGACTATGGGACCCCTGGTCAATAGCTTTTTAAGTGGAAGTCCATCTCTGGTATTGGGCTTTTACTTTGCTAGCCTATGGGGTCTAGTAGGGACAACGTCCCCCATCATAAGGTAACTCCTTTGAATCTTTTCTTATAATGTATATGTATATACTTCAGGAAGCTTCTATGATGGTAGGTTTACATAGGGCTTTTTCTAAAGGCCGTTGGTGTTAGTTTTCCCTTTCCATACCCTCTCCTCTGTCCTGCCCTCCCATTCTCCACTCTATTTAACTCTTCCTACTCTGTTATTCCCTTTTCCCCATTTATATCACTGCATTCTGCCCCGCCCCAAATGAAGCAACCCCCCACGTGGCCGTTTATTATCTTCCTGACTTCTCTGAATTTTCTAATTGAAATTTACATATCTAAGAATTCAGAGCTGACATCCAGCTGTAAGAAAGAACATGTGCTTTGGCTTTCTGAGTCTGGGTTACCTCACTCAGGATAATTGTTTCCAGTTCCATCCACTTAACCTGCAAATTTCATAATTTTTAAAAATATTTTCTTTATTATTTTTATTTTATGTGTATGAATGTATTGCCTGCATGTATGTGAGTGCACCCGTGTCATGCAATGCCATGGAGGTCAGAAGAGGGCTTCGGATTCCCCTGGAACTGGAGTTAAGGTTGGTTCGTAGCCGCCATGTGGGTGCTGGGAATTGAACTCGGGTCCTCTGCAAGAGCAGTCAGTGCTCTTAACCACTGAGCCATCTCTCCAGCTAAATAATATTCCATTGTGTAAATGTACCATACTTTCATTATCTAGTCATCAGTTGATGGACTTCTAGGTTGTTTCCATTTCCTCGCTATTGTGAAGAGGGCAACAATGAATTGGATGAATGAGTATCTCTGTTGTAGGATGTAGTTTTTGAGTATATGCCCAAGAATGGTACAGCCAGGTCATAAAGATCTATTTCTAGCTTTTTGAGGAATCTCCACACTGATTTCAGTAGTCGCCATACCAGTTTGTACTCTCAACAGCAGTAGATAGTATTTCCCCTTTCTCCACATCCTCACCAGCATTGATCCTTGGTCATATTTTGGATCTTAGCCATTCTGAGTGGGGTGAGTCAAAATCTCAAAGTGGTTTTAATTTGCATTTCCCTGATAACTAAGGGTGTTGAACTTTTTCGGCATTAAGTCCAACAATTGACAGATAGGACCTCATTAAACTAAAAAGCTCCTATACAGCAAAGAATACCACCATCTGAGTAAAAAGGCTGTAGACCACCACCATCTGTAGACCAGGCTGGCCTCAAATTCACAGAGATCTGCCTGCTTCTGCCTCCCAAGTGCTAGAATTGAAGGCTGGGGCCACTATGCCCTGCATATGTTGAACATTTTTTAAGTATTTCTCAATGATTTTACATTTCATCTTTGGAAAACTTCCTGCTCAGCTCCTTTTCCCAATTTTTAATTGGGTTGCTTGTTTTTTTGCTGTTTAGTTTTTTGAGTTCTTTGTATATTCTAAGTACTATACCT